AATTTATAATTTGCAAAAAAAACCCTCCAATCAGGTGGGTTTAAAATAGATTATGCACTGCAGAAAAAAGACTAGTGCACTTGTAGACAAGAAGCAGAAATTACCCAAAATGTAGAGAAAAAGAGACAAAAAAAAAAAAAAAAAAAAGGAACATCAGTGAGCTACAGGACAACTTCAAGTAGCCTAATATACAAGTAACTGGAGTCTTAAAGGAGGAAATAGAAAAAAAGTACAAAAATATGTAAATTAAAAAAATTTAAAACATTAATAAATTTATTTTTAAAAGCTTTATGTAATTTACATACCATACAACCCACTTACTGATTTATTTTTACCCTCACTGATCACTGCTTTTAGAGAGAGAGGAAGGGAGGGAGGGAGGGAGGGAGGGAGGGAGGGAGGAAGGAAGGAAGGAAGGAAGGAAGGAAGGAAGGAAGGAAGGAAGGAAGGGGGGATGGAAGGAAGGGGGGATGGAAGGAGTGAGGAAGGAGGGAAAGGGAAAGAAAGAGACACTGATGTGTGAGAGAGAAAAATGGATTCATTGCCTCTAGTTCCTGCCCTGAACGGGGATAGAACCCACAACCTGGGTATGTGGCCTGACCAGGAGTGGAATCTGCAGCCTTTTGGGACAGGTTCCTGAACCTGAACCCTGGGACAATGCTCCAACTGACAGAGGCATACCAGCTAGAGCAAAATGTTAATTGAAAATAACGGCTGAAAGTTTTCCAAATTTGATTCAAAATATATAAGCACATTAATCCAAAACTAAAGGCTGAAGCACAAGAACATGAAGAAAATTACACCAAAGCAATCACAATTAAACTGCTTATAATAATAAAGAGAAAATATTTTTAAAAGCCAGTTAACTGATCTGAACAACAAAGAGACAACTGGAAAAATTAACCTAGCCTCAAGAACCCGGAGGACAACTACTAAAGGTCTTAGGAGAGGAAAAAAAGTACAGATATTTAAGAAAAAATTGTTTCTGAAGACATAAGAGCTCGGACACATCACACTGTAATTGTGAAAATCTAAATAAAAATTCTTCAAAGTAGCTACAGAAAAATAATTTGTGTGAGGAAACAATCTGAATGATTATATTTAAAAAAAAATCAGAAACCATAGAGGCTTGAGAGAAGTGACTGACCATTTTAAATTGCTCAGAGAAAAATGGCTGTCTCTCCAGAATTATACAACCAGTGAAAATGTCCTCTGGGAATGAAGGTGAAATGAAGACCTCTTCAGATGAAGGAAAACTAAGATAAATCATAGCATGACTATTCTTTAAAAATTGCTAAAGAAAGTACTTCTAACAGAAGGAAATGATACCAGCAAGAAATTTAGAATGTCACAAAAGAGAGTAAGAACAATGGAAGTGGTAAAAATAAATTTTATATATAAATATAAATATAAAAATTTAAATTTATGTATAAATAATAAATATATTAGACTATTCTCTTTTTAAGTTCTTTAAAACATAAGATGATTAAAATAACAAGTATAACAGTGATAGAATTTTCAATGTATGAATATATGACTATAGCACAAAAAAACCTATATGGAAATAAGGTTTCTATATTCCTATTGAAGTAGTAAAATACTGATTCTAAATAAACTGTGAAAGTTAAGTGTGTATTCTGCAGGTCCTACTAAAAGAACTATACGAAATAGATATATGTGGTCAAGCTCACCATAGATAAATTAAAATGCAAATAAAAAACCTTACAAATTATCCAAAGAGGGCAGAAAAGGGGAAACAAATAAAAAGCAGAGAATAAACAGAAAATGAGCATTAAATACTTGATCTAAATCTAAACATATCAATAATTACATTTAAGTGTATGCAGTCTAAATACACCAAATTCAAAGGCAGATTGTCAGATTACATTTTAAAATGACCCAACTATACGGTATCTATAAGAAACTAACTTCAAGGATAATTAAATAGGTTAAAAATAAAAGGGTAAAAAAAGATATACCATATACAGAGAGAGCTGGTAAGTCTACATCAAAATCAGATAAACTAGATTTCAGATCAAAGAAAATTACCAGGAGAAAAGGACAGTTTATACTGATAAAAAGTAAACTCACTTAGAAGGCACAATAAACCTCAGAGTGTAATACAAATAAAGAAAGAGCTTCAAAACAAATCATACACTGGCTGGACCATGTTTGGCAAATATGTCATGAAGTCATGTCATCATGAAGCCCTGAAGACTTGAATGCCTCTCTCAGGAGTAGAGGTAGCAGACAAAAATTTAGCCAAGGAATCATCAATACCACCAATCAACTGTAACAGACATGCACAGAACACCTCACTCAAAAACAGCAGTATACAAATTCTTATTAAATGCACATGAAACATTCACCAAAACAGACCATGTTGTGGGTCATAAAATAAACCTGAACACCGCACATCAGTAAGACTGGTAACAGAAAGAAAATGTCCAATTACTTGAAAATTAAACAGAACATTATGCTAAATAATCCATGGATCAAAAAGGAAAATTTTTAAGAGAAATGAAAATATTTTGAAGGGAAGGAAAATTAAAATGAAACATAACAAAATTTGCAAAATGCAGTTAAAACAATGCTTAAAGGAAAATATACATGATTAAATGCCTATTAACAGAAAGAGTCTCAAATCAATAATTTAAACCTCCCTCTGACCAGTGTAGCTCAGCTGATCGGGCTTCGTCCTGTAAAGCAAATGGCCACTAGTTCAATTTCAGGTCAGGGCACAAGCCTGGGTTGCGGGTTCAGTCCCTGGTCAGGGTACTTACAATAGGCAACCACCAATCAACGTTTCTCTCCCCCTTTTTCTCCCTCCCTTCCCCTCTATCAAAAAATAAATAAAATCTTTAAAAATATATCAGGAATATATTAAAATATAAAGAAATTAAGCAGAAACATTTTCCAAATAACTGATGGGTAAAAGAAAAAAATACAAAATAAGTTAGAAAATATTTGGAATCGAATGAAAATAAAAACAAACCAAAATCTGTGAAATGCACCTAAAACAGTGCTTAATATTTGTAGCATTGATTGCTTATAATAGAAAAGAAGGTTCTCAAATCAATGATCTACGCTTCTATCTTAAGAAACTAGAAAATGGGTAGCAAAATAAACCCAAACCAAGCAGAAAGAAGTATTAAAAATCAGAGCTGAAAATAACAGAACTGGGAAAAATAAAGTATAGATTAATGAAAAGAAAACCTTCCTTTAAAAATCTATTATTAAATGCAAAAATCTGATCAATATGATCAAGCCTTTGTATCAAAATAATACAGAAAATTCAGGACCAGAAAACAGGCTGAATCAACCCATGATGATGCAATCAGTAAAATCCACAATGTGAAAAATTCTACAGGGTAAACAATCCTGTTTCTTCAACAATAAATTGCAAGGAAAAATAACAGTATAAACCTATAGACTAAAAAAGCCATATCAACCTATTGCCATGTTTGGAACTTACATGGATACTAATTTTTTTTAAACATGGTAAATGAGGAAATTTGAAAACTAATTATTTGATACTGAGAAATTACTGTGTTACTGCCCTGGCTGGTGTGGCTCAGTGGATTGAGTGCCAGCCTGTGAACCAAAGGGTCAGGAGTTCAATTCCCAGTCAGGGCACATGCCTGGGTTGCGGGCCAAGTCCCCAGTTTGGGGCACATGACAGACAATCACACACTGATGTTTTTCTCCCTCTCTTTCTCCCTTCCATACAAAAATATGTAGGGATAAAAATATGAATAATACGATTGGGAGTTTGCTTCACAAGAATCAAGTGCAAGGTAAAGAGAAATGAGTGGCATTGAGATGAAACAAAACTGACTATGGTATAACCAAGAAGCTAATGGTTAGGTAATAAGTATATGAGGGTTTTCATATATAATTTGCTCTATTCTTTTTTTTAATAAAGATTTTATTTATCTTTAGAGGGGAAGGGAAGGAGAGAGGGAGAGAAACATCAACGTATGGTTGCCTTTTGTGCGTCCCCTGCTGGGAACTGGCCTGCAGGGAACCGGCCTGCAACCCCAGTATGTGCCCTGACTGGGAATCGAACCACAATTGTCTGGTTCGCAGGCCCGCGCTCAATCCACTGAGCTACACCAGCCAGGGCCTGCTCTACTCTTTATATGTTCCAAGTTTTCCCAATTAAAAGTTTTTCTTTAACCTGACTTCAGAAAAGACTATAGCAAAATCACTTACACTTGCCTGAAAAAGTCAGATGAACTTTGTGATTATCTCAAATGTACTTATATTTTCACACAAAGCTAACACCTTAAAACAAAAGAATAAGCCAGAGGTATACTTTTAAAAATCAGCAAGTCGGTGAAAATTTTTCTTTATTTTGAGAAGAGAAACATTCTTGCAATCTCAAAATCAAGAGACACACATAAAGAACCAACTGATTCTGCCTACTTTTAAGTAAGCATTTGAATCTGGGCTGGTGTTGTAACACATGGCTCCTATGTCACCTTTGTAAAAACCTGCCCATTCACAAGAGCAATGTGGGAGCCCTGGACCGTGTGGCTTGGAGCATCGTCCAAGATGGCTGGAGTATCTTCCAAGATGATTGGAGCATTGTCCCATACACGAAAAGGTGAAGGGTTCAATCTCCAGTCAGGGCCCATGCCCAGGTTGTGAGTTTGACCCCGTCAGGGTGTGTACGGGAGGCAACCAATCAATGTTTCTCACATCAGTGTCTCTCTCTCTAAAATCAATAAACATATCCTTCTTCATTAAAAAAAAAGAGTAAAGTGGGATTCAAACTCTGTCCATTTACTACAAGTCTGTCTTACCAATTTTACAACCTATATTTTTACATCTCTGTGTTTTCGAGTTCACCAAAAGATAAGTATTTGAATTTAAAATTTCTAGCCTTTTACCAGATACCTACATGTTTTCAATAAATAAAGGAGCAAACCTTAAACACAATTTAGAACTGCTTTAATAGTATTCAGACACTTACACAAAAGCATTTATTTACATACCTTGCCTGGACTGCGAAGCTGCTACAGGCACTTCTTGGTTTGGCTCAAAAGGAAGTTCAGGTGTTAGGTTTTCAAACTGCTCTTTACTAATGAGATTTAGCTTCTTAAAGTTCTCAACTTCTTGCTGAAGCAGAATGGAGGAATCTAATTACTAAACTGGCTGACAGTGTAACCGACAGACAATAATTGATACCAACCTCAAAAAAATGAGTTTTTAAAACAGGGATTAACTGCAACAGAATAAAAGATATTCTAATAAAGAATCTAGCATTCCACTTAATAACAATATTCAGAGTCTAAAGAGGCATAGAGAACCCTAAAACATATTTAAAATACATTATAAGAGCATACATTCTAATCATTAATTATTTGCTGAGCATTTACACACTAGACCACTAAGGTATTAAAGGTTACTAAGTAATCCAATACATGTTCCCTACCCATAAAGAATTTACAAGTTAGAAAGAAGAAAATGTAGTACATATAAAAACTAATATTAGGCTGTACATAGAAAGTGATAACATTTGGTATAAGAATTGAGATCAGGAAAGTATCACAGAAGAGATAGGACAAAGGCAGCTCTTGAAGAGTGAGAATTTAGAGAAAAAAGCATTGTAAATTAGGCAATGTGAGCAGAGATGAGAAGCTTAGAGTAAGCAATCATTTATTAGAAAGTAATCCAATGAAAGAGAAAATTTGTGTAGAACCAGTGGCAAATATGCTTGATAAGGTGGAGAAAGCTACTAGATGTTTAATACCAGGTGAAAAAGTTTTCACTTTATTTTTTACCTATTTATTTTCAGGGAAGCACGTAATAAAATATAAATCTAGACGGCCCTGGAGGTTCAGTTCCGACCCCTTTTTTATAAGGTTAGCAGCAAAGAGGCTCAGTAGGTCTGAGTTGCCAGCTCCCAGCAAGAATCCCTCCCACTGGGGCTCTTGAAGCCTCCCCTTTCTATTGTTACATGGTCACTTAGCTGTTCTCTGCCCTGATCTCCATATACGTACAGCATCAGGGAGGGGGAGGCCATTCTCTACTGGAAGGCCACATGGCCATGCTGTGTGAAGACCATCCACGTCTGGCCTAAGCTGTGGAATAAAAGAAAGGGGGACTGCTTGTACTCTACTATTGCTTGTAATTTCCCCCCTCCCACCCCAAAACCCTATGTCCCATCTATACCACTCAGTGCTAATGGATCTCTGATCTTCTGCAGAGCAACATCCAGAGGGTTTAAGCAAGTTAAAAAAAAAATAGAAGTAGTTGTCAGATGAACCAAATTTAATATCATTACAAAACAGTTGTAGTACTTTACTCTTAAGAGTTAACCGATCTTTCACTTCTATCTTCAAACATGAATCGTTAAGTGAGCTATCACACCATTTACTAGATCCTATTCACCTTTAAACTAGAAGCTAACTTCTTTTCATAAAAATGCCTTAAATGATTACTTCAGCTCTTACCCGTTTACCGAAATTGCTTTCTCTAACATCTCCAATAAGCTCTTCAAGCTAATTCAGGATCATTACTCCTCACTGTTCCTTAATCTTGCTACGGAGCTTGCTATTAGTAACTCTCACTTCAATAAACACTTATTTTATGTTTTTCATGTGCCAGAGATAAATAACATAGTTTTTACCCTGATGGAAACACAGTACATTTGTTTGTTTTCAACTTTTAAAACTAACTCACTGAGATATAACATATATATATATATATCCATATACATGCACACGCTAGAGAAGTGTAGGAACCATAAGTATATGTCTCAGTGAAAGTGAACCGACCTGTGTAACCACCATTCAGGAGAAGGCATTACCAGCATCTAGAAGTACACTTCATGTCCCTTTCCATCACTACCCTCCTGCGCTCCCTAGAGATAAGCAATGTGCTGACTTCAACACTATGGACTCATTTTGCCTATTTTTCAAATTTATAAAAATGGAATCATGATGCATGGCTTCTCTTATGTAAAACTACCTTTATGAGATTCACTCACCGGGGTGTCACAGCCTGCCTGCCAGCCACATGCAGCCCAGGACGGCTGTGAATACAGCCCAACACAAAATCACAAATTTACTTAAAACATTGTGAGATTTGTCTGTGTGTTTTTGTTAGTGTCTGTGCATTTAATGTGTGGCCCAAGACAACTCTTCTTCTTTCAGTGTGGTCCAAACATGACAAAGGCTGGACACCCCTGAATAGTTTATGGCTCTACAGAACAGTTAAGAAATTTGGCTTAAATAGACATTAAGTGCACCCAACATCTGCAGAATGCACATTTACCCTTACACCACGCACACAAAAAAATAAATTCTAAATGTACTGTAGTTCTAAATGTGAAAGTCAAATAAATTTCTAGAAGATACTACCTCCATGATATATAAGTTGGGAAGGATTGCTAAACAAGAAAAACAGAATAAAGTAAATGACTGATAAAAATGTACTACATTAAACAAATGTTTTTCACCAGAAGACACAATATGAGATTGAAAAGGTGAGTTACAGTGGATGCTCTTACAAATCAGTAAGAGAAAGAAACTCTATAAAAATGAGCAATACAATTGAATAATCCTCACAAGAGAAGATATCCAAATAAAATATATTAAAGGTTTTCAGTATTATTAGTTATCAGAGAGATACAAATTAAAACCACAATGAGATAACACATCTACCAGAGTGGCTACATATTTAAAATTTTGGATTTTCTGAGATAATTATAGGTTCACAGGAAACTGGAAAAATAGTACAGAGAGGGGCCAGTGCGCCTTCCACTCCGCTCCCTCCAAAGGCTGTATCTTACCTCATTAAAGTACAAAATTAAAACAGTAAACTGACATCACAAATGCATCTATGTAGTTCTATGTCACCTTATCACACATATAGTTTCGTATAAATTATACCTTTATCAGGATATGATTAAGTACATTTGTACTGCAGTATAAAAACTACATAGATTACAGTGTAATAGCTAATTGTAATACTAACTTTGAAGGAGACAGTTTTAGAAACTAATTTCTTGTTTATTTGACTTATTATATAGCTTTAATATTGAATTCTTGATCAGTCTTCAATCTACTTTCTTTGAAACACAAGATTTTCATCAGCCACTGTTCTTAGAAATAATCACAAGGCCCTAACATTTATTTGATTGCTAATTCACAGAGCCAGAGGCTACTTTCTGCTCTCACTGCTCTTCTCCATTTTCCCCTTTCAAAAATCAAGCCAACTGGCTACTTTCCACAGCTGGACTACGTATTTCCTGTTTTGATTTTGTACATTTCCAAATACTTCCTGAAAACCAAGACAATGCTCTGGCATGTATCAAAGGGTAGACATTTTAATAGAAGTTATAAAGGGGGACATTTTTTCAATAATTGTCTTAGCAGTGGTAAAAAGGAAGAAACCTCTGCCATAGAAATTAAGCAAAAAAAAAAAAAAAAAAAGAGAGAGAGAGAGAGAATCTCAGGAAAAAGGCAAGAAAGGACTCAGTTGCTTAAGGTTAGCACATACCTTACACCAAATAAAAAAAGAGGTTTCTAGTCCCAGCTCAACAGACAGGGGAAACATAAAGGACCTTGAACCTGCAAACTCCATGACAGCAGGGACTTTTTATTTTCCTCAACACTGTACACAAGTGACTAACACTGCTTGGCACTTCACGGGCACTCAAATATCTGTAAAGTAAATGAATGGATTGAATGAACATGATAGAAACTTAAGTCAAAAAGAATGTCTTCCAGTGAAAGTCATTTTTGTGTCATTTTTTTTTTGGTTGGGAATATTTAGAAAAATAGTGGGCTCCAGATTCAATGTTTTGCTGTATATAATACATAATACCCATTATTTAGGGCCTAGTTCAAGCCCAACTCTTCATAATGCCTCCCTTGCTTATGCCAACTTGCAACTCTCAAAATTCTTCACCCAGCTACTTTAAAGTACTATATTTTGCCATGTATAATGCATAGTTTTTTTGTTCAGATTTTTGAGGGAAAATAAGGAATGCACATTATACATGGGTAGTCCTAAATTCCACATCTATATAAATGTTTTTAATTCTGTAAAAAATATTTTATTTATTTTAAGAGAGAGAGGAAGGGAGGGAGAAAGAGGGAGAGAAACAATTGATGTGCAAGAAATACATCGAATGGTTGCCTCTCACATGCCCCCAACTGGGGATCTGGCCCACAGCTCAGGCATGTACCCTGACCAGGAATGGAGCCAGCAACCTTATGGTTCACAGACTGGCACTCAATTCACTGAGCCACACCGGCCAGGGCTTTAATTTCTTTATTTTTGCTTTTGCATTACAAGTGTAACTAGAAAGCAATAATGATATCTGTATGCAAAGTAATGCCCTGGAATACGATAATCAGTTTTGTTTCTAAATATAAACAAAAAATCAAATCAAAAAATTAAAGTGAAAGATTTTTCCCGAAAATTTAAGCCCAAAACATGGGTGCACATTATACACAGGAGCACATTAAACATGGCAAAACACAGTAATTTTGTTTTATTGTAAAATATATAAAACATGTGTACAGTATACAAATTAATACTGTGCACACTACTTGTCACCTTCATCTAGATTAACAGAATACTGCAAATGCCTTAGAAGCTTCTTGTTTGCACCTGTCTGGTGACATTCTCCTCCTCTCCAGAGCTACCATTATACTGACTTCAGTGAATATTATTCTCTGTTACTCATAAAATGAAAAAGTCTCACTATATTAAAAGTTCATGAATGGTGCAGCAGGAACTCACATGCCACTGTTAGTGGTAAATTAAATTGTGTATCTTTATACATATACATGTAGAAATGGAACTTATGTTTCCTAGAATGCATAAATGATCAAATTCAATAAATAATATTAACCTGTTTTAAAAGATGATTGTATCCATTTAAGCAGTGGAACCTGTGGAGCAGATTCCTGGAGTCCTTGGAGTCCTTGGACGAAGGCTAAGCCACACATACTTGCAGGGACAAGACCCCCTGAGACATACCCAAAAGTGGCTGCTATGGGGCTGAGCTGAAACACACTAAAAGTCCAACAGGTTTGCAAGATGGAGCATACAGACCCAGAATGCAATAGAAGCCCCTTGTTAACGAATCGTTGACACCCAGATGGGATTTAAAAATTAGGCCATGCTACGGAATAAGGCCCTCGCCCTATAGTAAGACACACTCTATATTCCCTAGCAAAGACTAACACAAAACCTGACAAGATGTTGAGAGGGACAGAGTCTTTTAGTTTCCAAAAGTCTTTACAATGCTTAAAGTTGGTTCTTTTGGTCCAGAATTGCACTTAATGGAGATTGTACATGGGCTGACTCCTGGTCAGGAATAGGCCCCAGTTTTGCCAAAAGGGTTCTCAATTTGGCGTTCTTCTCTGGTGGGGTGAGAGGAAATTTAGGGTACTCTCCTCTTGGGGTACATCCAAGTCAGTTGGATGTCACTGTCTCTGTCTGCCAGGTGGTGATGCAGCACCTCCTAGTGAATTTGTACACCATTTTCAGCTATGTACCAAAGACTTCACACAAGTTCCTCTCACCATCTGCATCTATAACAGACAAGGACCTGCCTACATTTGTAAGGGGGATGGATGCAGCAGGAGACAGCGACATGGTCAGCAAAGTCAGAGTGGATTAAAAGTCCTCAGGTCTTCCAGGGCTCAAGGGCTCCACAAACTCCAAAACACTGTCCAGGTCAAGGCAAAAGATAAAGAGCCCACCTCCCCACCTCCAGTGTAGCCTCTCAACAATGTGCCTGCATGTGGCCCAGATCATCCAGTCATGCTACACGAGCTTCACTGTATAATACACAGCCAGTAAAGCCAAGGAGATCTGACACTGAAACCACAGGCAGTAACTTCACAGAACACTCCAAGAAGTACTGGACAAAAGGTGTATACTACACAAGAGCAGATGCTATGAGCCTGAAAATGAGATTGAGTGCCTGACCAACGTAATTCAAAAGAACCCAAGTTGAAATGCTAGGGCAGAAAAGCCTGACTGAGCACATCTGGGTTTCCACATAAGCAATTTGGATAGAGTATAATAACTAAGGAACTGGTTATAGTGGTTTCTCTCT